GCCGAGTCGGGCGGAGCAGCGGGCCCGGTGGGCTGGCGGCGGCTTCGCCATGAACCCCAGGGGCCTGTTCCAGGACTTCAACCCGAGTAAGTTCCTCATCTACGCCAGCCTGCTGCTCTTCTCCGTGCTGCTGCCCCTCCGCCTGGACGGCATCATCCAGTGGAGCTACTGGGCTGTCTTCGCCCCCATATGGCTGTGGAAGCTGCTGGTCATCGCCGGCGCCTCGGTGGGCGCGGCCGTTTGGGCCCGCAACCCTCGATACCGCACCGAGGGGGAGGCCTGCGTGGAGTTCAAAGCCATGTTGATCGCCGTGGCCATCCACCTGCTGCTGCTCATGTTCGAAGTCCTGGTCTGCGACAGGGTGGAGAGGGGGACCCACTTCTGGCTGCTCGTCTTCATGCCACTTTTCTTCGTATCCCCAGTGTCCGTGGCCGCCTGCGTCTGGGGCTTCCGACACGATAGGTCGCTAGAGCTGGAGATCCTGTGCTCTGTCAACATCCTGCAGTTCATCTTCATCGCCCTGAGGCTGGACAGGATTATCCACTGGCCGTGGCTGGTGGTGTTCGTGCCTCTGTGGATTCTCATGTCATTCCTCTGCCTAGTCGTCCTCTATTACATCGTCTGGTCCCTCCTGTTCCTGCGCTCCTTGGATGTGGTTGCGGAACAGCGGAGGACACATGTGACCATGGCCATCAGCTGGATAACGATTGTCGTGCCCCTGCTCACTTTTGAGGTTCTGCTGGTTCACAGATTAGATGGCCACAATACATTCTCTTACATCTCCATATTTGTCCCCCTTTGGCTTTCGCTAATAACTCTAATGGCCACGACATTTAGGCGAAAAGGAGGCAACCATTGGTGGTTTGGTATTCGCAGAGATTTCTGTCAGTTTCTGCTTGAAATTTTCCCATTTTTAAGAGAATATGGGAACATTTCCTATGATCTACATCATGAAGACAGTGAAGATGCTGAAGAAACCTCAGTTCCAGATGCTCCTAAAATTGCTCCGATGTTTGGAAAGAAGGCCAGGGTAGTTATAACCCAGAGTCCTGGGAAATATGTTCCCCCGCCTCCCAAGTTAAATATTGATATGCCGGATTAAACTCTTCTGAGGAGCACCCATCTGTGGATCGGGAACCATATACACACGCAAAATCCACCTTACCTTTGCCTCTGTGTTCATCCATCCCAAACTTGGAACTGAAAATAGGCCCCAAACATCATCATCTCATGCCTTGTTTGAGATTGATGCCTGTCAGTCACTCTTCAGTATGCACCATAGATGTAGGAGGTTATTTTAATACATGGCTCTGTGTATGTGTGCGCATGCATGTGTGCGTGTGGGGGGTGTGTGTGTGTGTGTGTGGTGTATACGTGTGAGAGAACTTGCATTCCAGGCTAGTGCTTTAAAAGCTAGCTTGGGAGCAGTCAGTTTAATAGTAGGTCCTCAAACGAAATAAATACACAACTGGGTTTTGTTTTGTTTTTAATGGTACCATGACTATTGAAAGTATTGTTTCAAAGTATTTTTATACACTGCTAGTCTACAGTTGTATTTCAGATTGTACCTGTTGTGACATGATAGCAAATGTAAAGAATTCTCTTTCCCTCCACTTGTTTATAAGCCTTAGGGTTGTTATTTTTAGTGTTCCTCCTGTTAAAATAGTTTTTCTTTGGGCTTTGCTGATACTGGTCTTTAATATCATAAAAGGTGACTTTTTCTAATGAAATGAATCCATGCATATATGATATTTATATGAATATTTTAGCAACGTATTTTGTTGAATTCTAGTTCTGTGCATTACAATGTATTACGTGACAGTATTTTTTTAGGTTTCTGTGTGAAGATATATGTCTATTGCAGCTGTCCTTAAAGATTGCTTAAAACATTAATATGTACCCAGTACAGGATCTTCTCAAAGTACCAGCATGAATATAGGGATTGAAAATCCCGTGGCTTTTAATATTCAGGTGTTAGACGACTCAGTCTACACAGTTTTAAGGTCTCTGTTAGTAGAGGGAGGAGCCACCATCATTTGGGAACAGGTGACATGCTCCGGTGTGATACCAGGCCATAAAGCGATACTGTTAATTTAGCACCTTCTAATTTTCCAACACAGGTAGTAACCTGTCTTCAGGAACAACCAAAATAAGCAACAAGTGATTTGTTCGTTGCTGAGAGTCTTAGCATATTACTTGGCTATAATAAAAAAAAATGTTACTTGTCATCAGAATGCTGGAAAGAGTAGCCTTAACCAAAACATGGCCAACAGGATCAGGTATTATTTTAAGGTCCAAACTTTTTGATCTGTCAGCAACAGGGTAAGAAGAGGTTATTTGTAAAGTAAGTCCTGGGTACTTATTTAGGTACTAGTGGTACACCAGGGAATCAGAAAAGCAAAAACCAAATTCTGGGAGAATAATGTTCTTCTGACTGAGAACAAATAAATACTTTCAAAAGGAGATTGAAATAGAAAAGTGTAGTGATACTATTACTGGAGAAAAGGAAAGGGAATCCATTTTATCATTAGCAACTTAGTAAAAATGATCCAAATTGCTAGTCGAGTGTTGCAAGTCAATAACGTGATTTACCCAGCGAGGGGCCACGCCAGCAACAAAAGCTAGTCCTGGGAGCCTGGCTCCCTGAAAGCCTGAGGACGCCACAGCTCAGTTCAGTCCCCTGGACTGTGCCAAGCTCTCTCGCTGTCTCTCTCTCTCTCACACACACACACACACATGCACGCACTCTCCGTTTACACCAGCTCTCGGAATGTGGGAAGCAGCCCTGGGCAGCAGTAACATTTTGTCAACAAGGATTCATTCGTTTCTCAAATATTTATCGAGGACCTACTCTGAGCCAGCCGTGATTCAAATGCCATCCCTCCCCACACTCAAGAAGTACACAATCGAAAGTGGCCGCGAGAAGATAGGGCTCATCACAGCAGCCTGCCTGTGGGAGGGAAAAGCCAAGAGCGGGATATGCAAAATGCCACCCAGAATTTCAGGCCCCTCTTTGTTTTCAGGAGCCTAGAGCCCCTGATCACATCTCCACTCCCAGACAATATCCCAAAGACACTGACTTGCACTTGAGTAAGATTTGGGAGTGGAGGCGCAGGTTGCTGGAGGAATGCAGGGTAGGGCTTGGGGGATCCCAGCCCCTCCTGCCTACCGTTTCAGGCTAGGGGCTTCTCGACGTGGGGTGCAGTCCCTCCCCACCGCGATGGGTCCTTCCCGCGCTCACCCAGCCCCCCAGCGTTAGAGAGCCAGGGTCTGAAAGCCATCAGCTTTCTCCCCCAGGTGGGCCATCCCCTGTCGTGCTGGCGTCAAAAGCATTAGATAAAAACAGCGGGAGTGACAAGGTGTGGAATGTCAGTCTGTAAAACACAATCTCTCTGCTGTGCCTGTGGACTTACCAATTGCCTTTTGTAACGCAGACTCTCCCCAGTATGTCACACGTGTCAAATTCTGTAACTGCGGTTTCTCCTGTAGGATGCTGAATTCGCCTTTGCTCAGAAATCTCCGCGGCTTCCGAGTACAGAACCCCGCTCCCCGGGCCACGAGTCCGCTGCGGGGGTGACGGTGCAGGCTGTGGGTCTGATGCGGGTGTGGGCTCCACAGCGCGCCCCGGTTCTGTCCTGGGTCCCCGGCGAAGGAGTAGTGTTTCCTGGGGCACGTTCTTCTTTCCCCTGGCAGAAGCACACGAGGCCAGGCCAAGCCCCCGCCAGCACCACACAGCCCCCGGCCCCCCGTGGTGTATGTCGGGGGGCGGGGTACAGGTTCCGTGGCCGAAGCACAAAGCCAAGCCAGGCCTCGGCGGGGTGGGCCAGCACACGCCCAGGGAACCACGACAGGCTGCACCGATGTCGCAACATAGTTTTAAAGACGAAAGGAATCACAACATCTGTAGTAGATCGTGAATGATTTTCCTCCGCTGTTTTACAAACATCCTGTAATTTTCCAGAAGTTCATTGTTTCTAATAAAAATGAGGAAATCTGTTTGGAGAGGGGGCGACAAGGCATTTGAGGGGAGACGAGGAAGACCCTGCGCCTAGACCCCTCCGCAGACTAGGGCGAGGCCCTGGAGGCCCCACCCAGGACGGTTCTGCAACCTCGCTGTCCTCGGAGGACGCCCCGGGGCGGTTTCTGCAGGATGCTTCCCGGCTCGGAAGAAGCAGAGTAGAGGGGCCTCGGCCACACCGAGATAGAAGAGGCGGGCCCTCCCGTCTGCCTGCTCCTGGGTTGTGGGTGGCAGGAGGCGACAGGATGGACTCCACACACGGAACTGTCAGGAGCAAAGGGTAGTTCTGTGCTGACCGGAGGCCTGGGATCCAGTGGGTGCACGGGGGTCAAGGGAAGCTGTGCTGCCCCAAACCCAGGCCGGGATGCATCACGGGGCCCACTGACACTGCCACCAAACGTAGCACATGCCACCAGCCACCCCCCCCCCACCCTCGGCCACAAGTAATCCTCCGCTGTCTCTGCCGGGAGGGAGATGGTTGCTTTCCTCTCCAGAGACTCTCTGGCCCCTTTAGCTTTAGTAGGAGGGAGGCCGCTGCCAGAACCCACTCAGTGGAGGCTTTGCCTAAAAAGGAAGGGCGCTCAGATGCTGGGTCACCAAGGATGAGGACGAAAGTGCACCAACCCCTCAGCGGTCTGACATACACCCTGCCCCATGCTTACACGTCAGAACTACCAGCCCCATCTAGCCTGCTCCGCCTGTGCCCCCAGCAAGGCAGTGGCTCCTTCCCCAGGGAGAAGAGAGGTGATCCCCAACCCCGATCCCGATCCCTGGCTGCTTCACCCATCACTTCATCCAACCCGCAATCCAGCATCCTTGGAGGTGTCTCGCCCTCCTCTGGTTTGTCATGTTCCCATCTATTCTAGAAGGTGTGGATTGAAGTTAACGACCACGACAGGGTCCCCCCTTTGCCAACCGCACCTCTGGGAGAAGCCCATTCTCCTCCTGTCTCCCACCGAGCGGCCACAGACGGGGTGCAGGAACAGACACAGGAGGGCAGTTGCCTTCCTTCTGCTCAGCCAGACCAGAAAGGTTTGCAAAATGCAAAATCAGTATCACTCCTCTGCTCAGCCACTTTTTTTCTTTTGTCTTGGAAAATACGGTTATTTTTCATTAAAGGAAGTTAACATAATGGATTTATTGTTTTTACATGAGTTAATATTTTTAAAAGCTACTGGCTTTAATTTCTTCCATGCTAAATGTTGATATAACTCACTTAAACCAAAGCTCCTCGGGGTCCTCAACCATTTTTAAGAGTGTGAAAGGGGGTCTATGACCACAGACTTTACGAAGAGCCACCCTATGTTATGGTGGGGGAAAGAGAGGAAACTGGGTGTAATACATTAAAATCGGTATGACATAGCACGGTTGCAAAATAACAGACACTGTCTTTAAAAAAAAAAATATTTTAGAGAGAGCAGGGGGAGGTGCAGAGGGAGAGGGAGAGAGAGAATCTCAAGTAGACTCTGCGCTGAGCTCAGAGCCCGATGCGGGGCTCGATCTCACATCCCTGAGATCACGACCTGAGCCGAAATTGAGAGTCACACTTAACAAACTGAGCCACCACCCAGGAGCCCCCAGATGCTGTCCTTTCTGCAACAGATCACAGGATGGCTTCTCCCCTCTGCGACTCTCCACACTCCCTTTGTCCTCTGCAGGCCCCTGGTTTAGTTGGGTTACTTAGCGCAGTGAGGTAATTCATGTTCGCCCCTGCAGGGCCAGAGACCTTTGCTGGTCCTGCTGGTGGCTTTCATTTCACGAGAACTAAGAGGAGCCTAGGGGACCGCCAGGATTCTGGCCACAAGCCTCTCTCCATTTTGTGGCAGCGACGCCATTTGCCCTCGATAGTCCTTCCAAAGGACAGTTGTGTTGGCTAGGGTGCTTGAATCTGACCTCCAGGAGGAAATGGGGATGGACGGCCACTCGCCGGGGTTCACAGGCCACCTTCTGTCTGCATTTGCAGGATGTCCTGTTTGTTCAACAGCTAGCGGAAGGGCAGGGCAGGGGAAGTGGGTTTTGAAGCCTTTCTCCACCGCAGCTCGGCTCTCTGCTCCCCACAGCCCCTGCCTCCTCCCTCCCCTGTGTCTGTGTGTCCCACCTCTCCCCCTGCACCAGGCCTCAGCCACAGCCCCCCTGGGGCCTGGAGCTCTCTCCTGGGACATGAGCAACACTCCTGTGCAGAATCTTGGGCCCCGCGTCCATCCCAGCTCTTGCCCCGCCCAAACCCCTACCCCTGCCCTCCTGGACAGGTGCCTCCCCCGTCCCTCCCATGAGTGACAGCAGCCCTCCTTCCTCTTCTCCACGCCATGGCCCGCCTCCCCTTGGCCCGAGCCACTCCTGGAGCTGGAACGTGACCAGCCACATGCGGCCGAAGTTCCACTCCTTACAGCCGCCCTGTCATTTTGACCTTGCCCTTCCAGGCTTTAACCAGGGGCACTGAGTAGGGTGGGAAGTTCAAAGACTTGCCCACCAGCCTGAGACCTTTCCAGGAAGCCAGCCCCCACCTTCCTCCCCCACACGCACTGGGTAACCAGCAGACAATGAGAACAAAGTCTGGGCCCCCTACTCTTGGTGGCAGTTGCCCCAGGCCAGTGCCGATGTCCATTCGGGGCTGCCCCTGACCTGCCCCTCAGGTTGCCCTGTCCGCCCCCCTTCCCACTGGGCAGCATGTTTAATGACATGTTGGTGGGGTGGGGGGCCTTGCTGTCCTGATCATTTGAACATTGCTTAAGGCTCCTTTCTCTACTCAAGGCCCGGCTTGTCCTTCTCTCAGTCCACCTCCGCTTAGCCTTCCACTCTGTCCTTGGTCCCTGACAGATTCTTGTCCCTTTGCATAAGACACCTTAGCCTGGCCTCCTGGCTCACCGAGGACCAAGCCAGGCTCTGCCCCAGTTCGGGGGTGCTCACTGTGACTCACAGGGACTCTAACAACATTAGGCACACACCCAAGAGCTGGGAGATCAGGGCTGTGGCCACCTTGGCCCAGGCCCGGTCCTCAGGAGTCCAAACAGGGCCAGAATGTCCTGTCTGGGAGTGTCTCTGATGGTTACAGTCCTCCCAAGAGGCTTAGGCAGAAGTCATGAGTGGGGAGAAGGAGCCTGGCCTGAGATGTCCCTGAGGCCCTGTCTATCCATACACCCCCGTGGAGGACCCTTAGCAGGGGGGAAAGGGCCATTTCAGAGCAGGCCATGGGGGCCATCGGGTCCTCCACTGGTGGCCTGGGCCAGCCGCACGGGTCCATGGGAGGGAGAGGCCAGAAAGGAAGAGGGTGCAGGCTCCACCCTGAGAAGGACAGCATGCTCCCACACCCCAAAGGTCAAGCAACAGCTGGCCACGGCCAAAAACACAGTCTTAGCTCAGGCTGCCATAACAAAACACCAGAAACTGGATGGCCTAACACAGATGTATGTCTTGTAGTTCTGGAGGCTGGAAGTCCAAGCCCAGGGAGCCAGCATGATCAGATTCTGGTGAGGATTCTCTTCGCAGCTTGCAGATGGCTACCTTCTTGCTGTGTCCTCACATGGCGGAGAGAGAGAGGAAGTAAGGCCCTCCTGTCTCTTACTATAAGGACACTACCCTCATGAGCTCATCAGAGCCTAATAACCTAATAAAGACCCACCCCCGAATATCGTCGCATTGGGAGGTAGGGCTTCAGTGTATGAGTTTGGGGGGTGGGGGCCCCCCAAATGATTCAGTCCATAGCGCACACTAAACCCAAAAGGCCTGAAGGCAGGGGACCAAGCCCGACATTCACTCAGCTCACATTTGCCGAGCACCTGCTGTGTACCAACTGCAGCGCACTCACTGCAAACGAGACGTGGCCGGTCACCCAAGGCCTGAGAGTGTCCAGGTGAGTGACAGCGGTGCCCAGCAGGGCCTCGGGAGGGCAGGCCCAGGAGAGGGGAGTGGGGCAGTGCTGGAGCGTGAATGGGGCCCGCCCACGGCAGCTCAGGCTGGCCCAGCACCGTGGAGGGAAGGAGGAAAGCTCTGTCAGGATGCCCTGGCGAGAATTAAGAGTGACTTCAACAGTCAGGGACATCACAAGGAATCCCGAGGCGGAGTGAGCTGTGACCCAGATGCCCTGCTCCACATTTCATCAAGGAAGGCTGGCCTTCCATCTTGTTGCAGTGCCATTCGCACCCTCAACTCTGGGGGACATCTGCCCCCATGGTCGCCGGGCACAACTGCAGGTGTTACAGTTACGTGAAGTGACGGTCATCCGAGAGGACTGCTGGTTCCCCTGGATCTCTTTCTATCAGAATGGAGAGCATCCCCCAGAGTCCCAAGACCCTTCCTTCCTTCCGTCTGTCCCTCCTTCCTTCCTTCCGTCCGTCCTTCCTTCCGTCCGTCCTTCCATCCGTCCTTCCTTCCTTCCGTCCGTCCTTCCTTCCATCCGTCCTTCCTTCCTTCCTTCCGTCTGTCCTTCCATCCGTCCTTCCTTCCTCCCACTAGGCGGGGATCAGGACACAGACCGAAGCACTAGCAAGGAGGTCGCAGCCCCCCACAAGGGCAGAGAACTACCCTGATCCCCAACCTCACAGGGGGTGGAGGATCACCTCCTGATCCATGGAGGTGAAGGCGGGGACAGCCGAGTCCCTTATGGGTGATGGTGGGCAGAGGGGCACTCAGGACACCAGATGTCCATGGTCCTTTGGGAGCGATCCAGGAGATGAGGGAGGGAAGCAGGTATCAGGTCATGACTAGCCTCGAGAGCTGAATGGTGAATTTTAATACCCAGAAGGCCATGGAAACTGCCAGAGGATTTAAGCAGACTTATGTTTTAAAAGATCATTCTATCACAGCAAAAAAAACCTGGAAAGAACCTAAATGCCCAAGAATTGGGGATTAGTTAAATACTTCAGGGAGACAAAGGCTAGAATCTTTTTTTTTTTTAAGATTTCATTTATTTGTCAGAGAGAGCGCACTCACAAGCAGGGGGAGCGGCAGACAGAGGGAGTGGGAGAAGCAGGCTCCCCGT